TCATATTTATATTTCTTTTTTCATTAATTTATTTATTTTCTGTATGTCCCAATATCATCCCCCCACCAGTACATCCTCACACAGCATCTCCCTGATCATTTCTCCCCTTCTCTTCTGAGAAGGGGAAGCCTCCACAGGATATAAACATGCCGTCTCTCCCATTCTTCTTTTAAGTTTTTGTCTTTCTGTGAATAAAAACTGATGCCATCTTCATTTTTTTATGTCATTCACTGCTTGTCAACATCTGTATTGTCTGCATGTGCACATATGTACATTATGAGCAGAATTGTGTGTGTGCTTTTTCAAAGGCCAGAGGTGGATATATAACATTTTCCTTACTGACTCTCCCTCTGAACCTGGCTAACTGGCTAGTGAGGTATGTGACTCTGCTGTCTCTTACTTATGGGTTAAATATTCTAGCCACTCTGCCACCGTTTAAGTGGGTAGTGATTGTCACAACACAGGATCATGTGTTTCCACAGTAAACATTATATCCACTCAGCCATTTCTCCTATATTTTGGTTTTAACTTAGTGATTAAACTTTTAACTTTTTCAATATTAATACTGCTTTTCATAGAAATCTAAAACAATATACTATTGTAATGCTATAAGTATGAAAAAGTACAAATTAATTATAACTGAAATAAATTATCATCAGAAGTGCTGATTATCAGAAGAATTCATTAAGAAGGAATTTCACTGTTTTTCTGAGGTGCCAGAGGACTCCTGCAATTGGACTAATGGTCTATTCCTCAATTTCCATCTTTGCAAAAACAAGAATAACATAATAGCTTCACTATCTCTCATTGATTCAGGTGCCATATTTCTCTCTCTTCTAGAATCATGAATATATTAGATACTTCTGGAATATTCAACGCACTTTTCCGCTCTCGGTGTCACCTAATAGTTATATTTATAACCTTAATTCTCCCTGAAATAGTGAATGACTGAATATTTGTTAGACTAAAATTCTTATATGAAATACCAACTCATATTGTGAAATACATATGTTATATTTTTGGAGAAATGAAATCTTAGTCCAGTAGCCTACCATGAGTTAGAATAGTTGAAATTGTCTCAGAGGAAATCATCTGTCATATTGCTTTTGCCGTGTGAGCCATGAAACTATGATTTTTTAATACACTAGAAATGCAATCCAATGTATCACACAATCTAGGCAAGTGGTCTACTGCTAATATTCCATCCTCAGATATATATACCTCCTATGAACCAGCACAGAATTAGTTCCCTACCAGTCCAAGTATTCTACTGGTTTGTTTTTCTATACCCTAGCCTACAGTATTATGAGAATTTTTTTGCTTTTAAAAATACTTAGCCTAAGTACAATCACGTATCTACTAAGTTTTAAGACACATAAATGTGTAAATGTGTTGATAGGTAGTTTTGTTGTCCAAACATACTAGAGTATACTGGGAAATCACAGATGTGTAAAATAACTATACAATATAATCCTATGGTACCGTCATAACATGCAATGTGCTATTGAATGAAATACCACTAGAGCTTGCTATATCTATTGTTAATTTTTAACTTGACAAAATCTAGAACCACCCTGTGAATTGGTTACTAAGCGACATTACTTGTCTTGGTTCTTCTGTTGATATTAGTGGTCCATCTTGATTATTAACAAGATGATTCTCTGGACAAGAAATTCTGGGATATATACAGTGAATAAAGAAATCTTGAGTGATAAAAGCATGCATTCATCCATTACTTTCTGTTCTTGATGGTAGAAGCAATGTGACAAGTTTTTCCAAAGTCTTTACATCCTACCATCCTCCTTCTCACACGTCTCTTTGTCTCTCTCTGTCTCTGACTCTCTCTCTCTCTCTCTCTCTCTCTCTCTCTCTCTCTCTCTCCCCGTAAGTGTGTGAGATGTAAGGCATTTATTTTATTTTAATTATGTATATGCATGAAAATAATCTGTTTGAAAGAAAATGACATTGTTCAAAATACCACCTGCTTGCACCCAGGGGGATTAAGAATCTTGCTTCCTAGCAAGTTACATAAAATACAGTTTGAAGAAGAAATATATACACACTGGGTATAGTGAGGGTTAACTGTTGCCTGCTTTCTTCAGTGAGGTACAGATGTGAGAGCAGAGGCAATACACATCCCATATCAGACGTCTTTCACTTTTAACTCACACCAAGTAAAGGGCTTGTATTTTCAATATCTTCCTTCATAGCACAGTGCTCTCTGTGAGATGTAAATGATCAAAACAGCAGCCAAACATGTGGATAGAATTCAGTGGTTAAATGACTGCTTAATCTTCTGTCTCCTTCTCCAATCCTGTCTCCAAAGATCTAGTAATGAGATAACAAGGAATAGCAAAAGGAGATTCACTCTGAAGCTCCTTTCTTCCACATGACCAGGTTCAGTTCTGTTACAATTCAGGAGGTTGGCATGCAGTGTACAGATGTCAACTCACTTATTTCTTTAGTATTATTTGTGAGCCGGGACCTATAATATATTTCAGATCCTTTCTGCCTCTAGCTGCTCTACCAAGCAAAACATGAAGTTGGAGAAATCCTAACATTTTTCACTGACTACAAACTTAATGAAGAATCTTATTCATTAAACCTAAGTTGTGGACTACTTTGAACTAATCGAATAACTCTCACTGGAAATCTGGAAATTTTATATACAGAATGGTATAGCTATTTATATAGAAAGTTATTCTGCTCAGTTACTTAATTTCTAAGTTTCATTTATATAGTCCCATGTCATAAAAAGAAGCAGATTATCACATTATATTTGATAATTCAAGAGAGATAAAACATTTTAGTTACTTGTTTCATATTTGCAGGATCTAAAAAGAAAATCATTTTTTACAAAAAAGAAAAGAAAAAAATAATTTCTGGAATTGTAAATTTTTGTGTCATTGCCTTTTACAAAGTCTCTTTATTTTCCTTAAAGTTGTCAAAATCAGGGAAGAAAACCACTTTAGGGCATAAGCCACTGTTATTTCTCATATAAATAAAAGGACTTGATATTGAGGTTCGTTTTATAAGCTCTGACAATATGAGACATTTCAATTATAACCTATAGCAAATAGTACATGAAATATTTTAGATACGCCTGTGGCAATGGCCCTAGGCATATATTCACACTGTGTGAATAAACAGAGCCAGGGTGAATTTCTAGGAGGTAGACATTTATATCACCATAGCATTTTGCGAAATTGTTTGAGGTTTTGAGATATATGTCATTATGGGTTGTGTATATGTACATTTTAATCCTCTGCAAAGATACTGTTTTGCCTGTAATAAAGAACATTTCAAATACAACCATGAGCACATGACTTCAAATACAAATCCTAGAATAAGAAACAATTAAAATACCCATAGTTTTCCTTCATTGATTTATTTTTAAGAACTAGTATGATATTAAACTGGCAGTATTATTGCTCTGTTGAAATTTCTAAGGGTGATTTCTTTCTTTCAGTCATTTCTGCGACAATGGCATAAAATGCTGATACATATTCAACATCTATGTTTTCATTTGAATTGCACACTAGCAAACAGGTTATTTTTAAGTAAATGGAGATACGTATATACCTGTTCTTACTGACATAGCAAGTCAATCAAACACATTTTTAAAGTTCATTCGAAAGCAAATGAACAATAAGAATTCAGAAAGATCAAGGTAGCCCAGAGTCTGCTCTGACCTTTGGAAATCGGAAGGGGGTCCACAGCCACCACTCTCTGTGTAAGACAGCAGGACAGCTGGGCCTCTGGTGCACGGTTACACTGTTGTATCCTCTAAAACACATTATGCAAACACAATACGATGCAGAGAAGGATAAGACTGTCTGGTTTTATTTTGGATCTTGATTGAACTTTATCAAGCACTTAACTTGCAAAGCCATGTTCCAGTTTCCTGTGTTTATGGGTGGGGACTTTGGCAGGAAAAAGAAAAAAGAGCTCTTCCTAAGGCAAAGCTATACCAGGTTTCTCCAGATGAACTCTGTTTGTGTCTGGCAGTGATGAAAAACAACAGAACCACAAGAAAATAAAGTTCAATTAACTAGAAAACTCCAAAATTACTAACATGTAAAAAACTGAAAAAAATAAACAAAAAACCAACTAATTAAATATAAAAACATTAACAAAAACCCTTCCTATTGGACTAAAGCAAGTGATTTTTAAAAAATTACGTCTTCAGGAGAAATAGTCAATAATTTTCTTTTTTTGATGGCTCTTTATATAGTTTAGTATCAGAGTAACTGTGGACCCATAAAGTGAATTGGGAAAGGTTCTTCTTTGTCTTTGTTGAAGAAATATTTGAGGAATATTGGACTTAACTCTTTTCTGAAAGTCTGGTAGAATTCTACATTAAAACTATCTAACCTTGAGTTTTTCGGTTCAGATACTTATAATGGCTTCCTCTATTTCACTAGGTGTCTGTTTGATTTGTTTATCCTATACTGATTGAGTTTCGTAATATGGGCCACATAGAAAATTACCCATTTCTTTTAGATTTTCCAATTTGGTAGAGTGCAGGTTTTTGAAGTATGCTCATGATGCTCTGAACCATACCTCATTTTATCTCTGTGAGGCTAGGTGTTTCCTCTTCCACTGAGGCCAGACAATGCAACCTAGCTAGAACATATTTCACAGAAAGGCAGGAGCTTTTCGGACGGCCCTGCTTCAGCTGTTTGTGACCCACATGAAGACAAAGCTTCACATCTGCTACATATGTGTGTGGAGGCCTAGGTCCATCCTGTGTATGTTCTTTGATTGGTAGTTCAGTGTCTGAAAGGCCTACGGGTCCAGGTTAGATGATTATGTTGGTCTTCCTGTGGAGTTTCTATTCCCACTGGGGTCCTGCAATCCTTTTTCCTATTTTTCCATAAGAATCCCCAAGCTCCATCCACTGTTTGGCTGTGGGCATCTGTTTCTGACTGAGTCAGCTTCTGGGAGGAACTATTAAGAGGGCAAATGCTCCTGTCTGCAAGCGTAATAAAGTGTCATAGTGTTAGGAATCGGTACTCGCCCACGGGATGGGCCTCAAGTTGGACAAGTTATCGAGTGTGTTGGGTTCTCTATTGCTCCACTGGGGTTCCTGTCTGGCTACAGGAGGTTGGCCTCTTCAGGTTCCTTATCTCCTGTGTGCTACAAAGCAGAAGCCTGCAAATATGTAAAGGATCATCACCAATCCTACATCTGACAGAGGGCTAATCAAAATTTACAAAGAACTCAAGAAGTTAGATACCGACAACTCAAAATAACCCAATTAAAAAACTGAGGTACGGGGATAAACAGAGAATTCTCAACAGAGGAATTTTGAATGGCCAAAAAGCACTTCAAAAAGAAATGTTCAAAGACCTTAGTCATCAGTGAAATGCAAATCAAAACAACCTTCAGGTTGTTCGAACAGCTAACTAAGATCCTTTAGTTTTCTTATTGCTCTAGCTAAGATTTGAGATAGGTATGGAGAGAGTGTGCAACCTTGTCTTATTACAAATTTTTCTTGAATTGCTTCAAATTCTCTCCATTTAATTTCGTATTAGTTATAGGCTTACGTAAAATGTCTTTATTATGTTTCTTTTTGTTCCTAATATCTCCAGGACATTCATTGTGTCATAGGCCACTTCTGCATCTAAGGAGATGATCATGTTGTTTTTTAATTTCTTTACACAGTGAATTACATTTATCTATTTTCATATATTGAAATATCCTTGTATCTACAGAGTGAAGACTACTTTATCATGGTGGATTATATTTTTGTTGTGTTTTTGGATTTGGTCGCAAGTATTTTATTGAGAATTTTCCGTCTATGTTCATAAGGGTAACTGGTCTGTAGTTCTCTTTATTTGTTGAGTCTTTATGTGGTTTGTATATCAAGGTGACTGAGGATCCATAAAGGAATTGGGACATTGTAAAAGTAACTTTTATTTGCCTTATTTAATTGTTGTATAGGAGGCTTACTGCTGAATAAACTCACCCTTTCTTGCCCTATCTGAACTCTTGCTCACTAATTCTACTGAAGCTTTCCTGACTCAAACTCTTCTTCAAGCTGCCTGATTCAAACTGGCTTCTTTCAGCTTCTGACTGAATTGTCCTCCTTGGCCTCAAACTAACTCTAGCAATCTATTCAAATCTTCTAGCTTCTTCTTATTCTCTGGCTTCAAAAGCCTCTACTGACCTGCAGTGAACTACAGGAACTCACCAAGGAACTCAACTCCATGTAACTACACTCACCACACTGACTCCCAACTGACTGATCAAACTGAACTCAACTGAATTCAGTGTGTTACTTGATCTTAATTCAACTGCACTGATCCAACTCCACTCATCTGGACTGATTGAACTACCTGATTTGTTCTACCAGCACTGCTCTTGAATAGCTTTTCTTTCTTGTGCTGGTCCCATGAGGTTTGGGTGCATCCTATCTATGTTAAATCTTTCTCTGATTTGTCACTTTGTCTGTCACTCAATTATAATTCTTTTTTTTTTTAAGGGAGATTAAAGATGTGCACTAAAGGTGTATCTATATTCCAGTCAGAGAGGCCATGTTGCTGTATTAAAATTCCTCTACAGACAAAGTGCTTTTTGTTTCTCTTTTTAAAGAAGTATTTGAGGAATCTTGGCTTCAACTCTTCTTTGAAAATCAGGAAGAATGCTCCACTAAAACCATATGGCCCGGGATTCTTTAATTAGGCAATTTTTAATGACTGCTTCTATTTTTTATGGGTTTGTTTAAATTAGCCATCTGAACTTGATTTAATTTAGTAAGTGGGAACTATTGAGAAAATTATTCATTTCCTTTAAATTTTACAATGTGATGGAGTACAAGTTTTTCAAGTGTGTCTTTATGATTCTCTTGATTTCCTTGGTGTCATTTTATTGTGCCCCTTTTAATTTTTGATTTTCATAATTTGTATATTTGCTCTCTGCCTTTTACTTGGTTTGGATAAGTGTTGGTCTATTTTGTTTAATTTCTAAATTAGTCAACTCTTTGTTTCATTAAAATTTATGTTGTTTTATTTGTCTCTGTTTTATTGTTTTCTGTTCTGAGTTTGGCTATTTTTTGCTGTCTACTTAGGTGAAAGTCCTTTCTTTTCTTATTAACCTATTTATTTCTTCACTTTGCATCCTGATTGCAGCCCCATCTCCTGCTTCTCTCCTCCCAGCCTCAACTTCACATACTTCCTCCCCCTTCCCTTTCTTTGAAGAAAAGCATAGGCTTCCATGGGTACCAATCTGCCATGGCATATCAAGTTGCTGCAGGACTAAGCACATTCTTTCCCACATATGCCAGGCAAGGTAGCTAGAGGAAAAGGATCCAAAGGCAGGCAACAGAGACAGAGACAGCCCTCTCTCTCCGATTGTTAGGGACTCATATGAAGAACAGCCTGTACAACTGCTATATATGTGCAGGGGTTCTAGGTCCAGGCCCTACATGCTTTTTTGTAGATGGTTCAGTTTCTGTGAGTCCCCATGGGCCCATATTTGCTGACTCTATAGGTCTTTGGTGGTGTCTGCAACCCTTCCAGCTTCTCCAATTCTTCCCTTAGCTTTTCCACAAAACTCTCCTAGCTCTGCCAATTGTTTGGATGTGAGTTTCTGCATCTGTTTGCATCATCGACTGGATTAAGCCTCTCAGAAAAAAAGTTATGCTAGGCTCCTGTCTGCAAGCATAGTAGAGTGTTATTAATAGTGTCAAGCCTTGGTTTTCTACCATAAGAAGGGTCTTAAGTTGGGCCGGTCATTGATTAGCTATTTTTTTCTATCTCTCTTCCAGATTTATCTCTGCACATCTTGTAGAGAGAATAAAGTTTTGGTGGAGGGGCTTTTGCACTTCTGTTCCTTCATCTGGAATGCATTTCATTTAAATTTTTCTTGAAGCATTTCTTTTCCACTTCACTTTTCGTAGGAAACATCACTACTGTATCCAAACTCTTCTCTAATTTTTCCTTAATTTATATCAAAATTCTTATAAATTGATCAATTTGCAGGATATATCTGTGGTTTTTCTTATCTCTAAAAGTCAACTTTTTAATTCTCTTGGCTGTTTGCATAGGGTTTGGAGTAGCTAATGAACCCTGCTGAGAAAAGTACCACGTTTATTTCATTCTCATTTACAGCCATTAAATGAGAGCCAATGGTTATGCTCAGTTCTACCTAATTGTAAGAACACAATCATACTATTTTAACTGTCATTTTTGTATTTTATAAATCTTCACTTTAGAAATCAGGGTTCACACTTTGGAAATCAGTGTGGTGGTTCCTCAGAAAATTGGACATAGCATTACCTGAGGATCCAGCTATACCACTCCTAGGCATATACCCAGAAGATGCTCGAACATATAACAAGGACATATGCTCAACTATGTTCATAGCAGCCTTATTTATAATAGCCAGGAGCTGGAAAGAACCCAGATGTCCTTCAACTGAGGAATGGATTAAAAAATGTGGTATACTTACACAATGGAGTATTACTCAGCTATTAAAAACAATGAATTCGAGAGTTTCCTAGGTAAATGGATGGAACTAGAAATTATCATCCTGAGTGAGGTAAGCCAATCACAAAAGAACACACATGGTATTCACTCACTGATTATTGGATATTAGCCCAGAACCTTGAAATGCCCAAGATGCAACTCACAGGCCACATGAAGCTCATAAAAAAGGAAGACCAAGTGGGGGTGATTCGGTCCTTCTTAGAAGAAGCAACAAAATACTCAAGGGAGCAAATATGGAGTCAAAGTGAGGGACAGAAACTGAAGGAGGGGCCGTCTGAAAACCACTCCACCTGAGTATCTATCCCATGTGCAGTCACCAAAGGTAGATGCTGATGTGGAAGTCAGGAAGTGCATGCTGATAAGAGCCTGATATGGATGTCTCCTCAGAGGTCTCCAAGAGTCTGACATATTCAGAGGCAGATGCTCACAACTAGCCATTGAACTGATCATGGGGTTCTCAATGGAGGAGTTAGAGTGAAGACTGAAGGAGCTGAAAGGATTTGCGGCACCATGAGGAGAGCAACAATATCAACCAACCACAGCTCCCAGGGTCTAAACCACCAGCCTGGGAGCACTTAGGGAGGGATCCAGGGCTTTAGCTGAATATGTAAGAGTGGAGGGCCCTGCTGGGCATAGGTGGAAGAAGAGAACCTTGACCTCATGAAGGCAGGAAGCCTTCATGAATTTTGAGGAATAAAATAAATTTAAAAATATGCTCAAAGGAAAAAAAAAAGAAATCAGGGTTCAGTTGAGTGGGAGATGATTATTATATCTGTGTCATGACTTGAACAAATTCTGGCTTAGGTGAGAAGGCAATATAAAATAGTAGTCATGAAGAAAAATTTTTCAAATGAGTTAAATTTACAACTTTTTGTGAAGTCCTAAAATCCTCCAGTGTTTAATTGTGATTTCTAGCACACTGAACTTTAATATTTTTCAGCTCATGGGAAAAAAAGTAACTTCATCAGAATATTGTGAAGAGCTTTTCCATATTTGTAACAATTGTGATAAGAAAACTGGCAGCTTAACTACAGTCATGAAGCTTTTACTTTGCTCTTGTATTTCTCATATTTGTACATTTATCATAGTCTTCTAAATGTTCTCTACATGCTAACATGTTGAGGCCTGAATATTAACACCAATTTTCTCAAAATTCCTTCTATTTGCTGAGGTCCACATGAAATTCATGAACCTCCTCTTTTCTTTTCTCCTCCTATGACTTTTCCTCCTGCTCTTCTTATCTCCTAACTACTGCTCCTCCTTTGATGGTGGTTAGTACCAGTCAGTGTTAAAAACATGGACCTATGTGTTCAACAATTACCCTTCTAGATAAGTACGATTGACCCAAGATATAGACTTGTCTCATTGGTGAATACATTTGTTTTTGTTATGATTTGTCTATTTCATTTACTTATTGATCATTTTAAGTATATGTGCATTAGTGTGTTGTTGTTACATATTTATAGACATGCATATATGTATAGATATGCATGTGTGTGTGCATATGGATACCAGAGGTT